GACCGGCAGGGCGCTCGCCCCGGCCACCTGCGTGAGGACCAGCCCAGGCTGGCCCACGAGCTGGCAGGCCTGCAGGATGGACGGCAGGCCGTTGCCGCCGGCGGAGAGGTGCGCCGGGATGACGGTGATGGTCTGGGGCACCGTGTGCACCGTCCCGTTGGACTGCTTCCTTCGGGCCTCCTCCACCTCCTCGGGCGTCCAGCTCACGCCGTGCTTGAGGCGCTGGGCAGAGAACCATATCTTGACCTGCTCCTCCGTGTACTTTGCTTGCGCAGAGAGCACGGTGATTTCGGACATGGTGGGATACGGGAACTTGTTGTAGGTGCTGAGCAAGAGGGGGTTGCTGTCGAGCGCCGTGTTGTAGGTGGGGATGCTGTTCACGGGGATCAAGACTTTGGGGACCACGTGGGAGTTCTGCTGAGCGGACACGGCAGTGATCACCTGCGCCAGGCCGGGAAGCACGGCCGCAGGCGTCACCACCGTGCGAGCTGGGCTCGGGTGGCCACGGCTCGCCGTGGACGTGCTGGTACTCGCCTCCGACGCGGACGAACTCGGGTTTTCCACAGCCTCCTCGCGGGCTGGCGTGGCCTCGCCCTCCGTCTCCTCCGCGGCCCCCTCGGCGGCGTCGAGATGGACCGCGATGCGCTTGGCCTCCGCCCGGCTCTTCATCATCTTCATGATGGGGGTCTTGCTGATGGAGATGCCCGGGGAGGGCGCTTCTGCGGGCTCGGCTTGCTCGGCCCTCTCCTCTTTAACGAAACTGCCATCGAAAGTCAGGTCATTTATTGTCTGCTCAAAGATTGTCTGGTTATTACGCTTCACCATAGTCAACTTGAAATTCTCTTCTCCCGGGTGATACTTCAGATTATGCTCGGAAAGTGCATCATACCTTTTGGTAAGAAAATTGCATTCGACGCATACATAGGATGAGTTTAGCACGACATTGGGATGCTCGGAATCCACGTGGAAAGTAAACATATTGAGATCTGGAGTTTGGAAAGTACAGTATTTACATTCATAGCCTCCTTCGACTTTCTTATTTTGCTGATTGTCAGAATCCACAGATCCACGAACCTCCTCGTCACTCGAGACGCTCTCTGCATGGGCGTCTTCCACAGGCGTGAGCACAGGCGGCCCCTCGTCCAAATCCGAGATCAGCTCGAGGTCCGGCTCCTGCTCACTGGCCAGGACCATGCAAGGGGTGGTGGACTTCCGCCTGCTTGCCATCCCGGTATTCTGGGGACGTCTCAGTGGTGATCCCAAAGCATCAGGCTTACCACTCCCGGGTCTTCATTTGAAAGCAATGGCTTTTGTTTCTTCACGTCCATTTCTGGGCTCAGTGAGTCTCACTTGCAGCTTGCTCATGGTGCAACCAAGGAAAGAGCGCATCGCGGGCAGATAAAATGCCGACGAGCTGCTGAAATGCTTGAAGCGCAACTCCAATCACCTACATTAAAATAAATGTAAACAGGTTTTAAAATGAATGCCTATGCTCTTCAAACAAATTACAGCTCTACTTCACTTATACGAAGCTGCTGGATAGCTGAGTTCTAAAGATCTAGAACAAAGGCCCTCTAGGGATCAAAACAGATGTCCGCAGGCCGACTCACTGAAGGTCACGTCTGCGCTGCACTCGCGGTCAGGCCCGAGCCGGTTCTCGCGGCTGGCAGCCACCATCGCAGGGCGAGGGGGGGCCTGCTCTGGCACGCACCCCGCTATCCATGTGACATAGCAACCTGCTGGAAGGGAGGAACTTCCCGCCTACCGAAAGCAGTCACGCGTACTAAAAAGCGCCCAGAAGAGACGCAGCCGCCCGCGGCATCCTCGTCTTCCCACTGGCCAGTCTCGTCGGCCTGAGGGCTCATGGCCGGGAACGCAGCGAGACGCAGGAGGGTCACAGTTTTGGCAGCATCGTTCTCACACATCCTCCCCGCGGCGGAGGACTCACAAAGCATCGCCAGGCGCAGGTCTTCCAATGGGGTCCGCAGCGCTGGAAGGAGGCTCACACGGCTTGAGGGACGCACCATCCCCTCCGCAGCCTCCCTGACCTCCCGTTTCGGCCTCCTCTCCCGCCAGCCTTCTCCTTCCAACTCCTCCTGCTCCTGACATCGAGGTGATGCCTGTTCCAGGGAACTCGGCGCACTTCCGCGCGTTGCTCAGGCCTTCCTGGGCCAGGCCGCTCGCTTGAGCCCTGCACGGGTGGGCTGCCGCCTGCCCCACTCACCTCTCCCCCTCCCTCTGGCTCAGCGCTTCCCTGTTCACGCCCCCTCCGGCACGCGGTGCCGCAGTAGAGTAACGGCCGCCCCTGCACCGCCCCCAAGCTGGGGGCTCACGAGAGACACTGCGTCCCACGCCTTTCTCTTCCCTCGGCGGCAGCTTGCTATCGTTGGGCTGTCTGCCCTCCAGGCCGCACGTTGAAATGGGACCCCACGGCTGGAAGTGGGGCCTCGTGGAGGGCCTTTGGGTCAAGGGCTGGATTCCCCACCAACGACTGGCTGGCGGGTAAAAAGCCAGCTGTTACAGGAGCCTGGCAGCCGCTCTCATTCCTGCTCCCTCTCTGGCCATGTGACCTCTGCACAGCCACCTCCCCCTCCATTCTGCCATGAGCGACGCTTCCTGCGGCCTCACCAGAAGCAGGTGCAGGCGCCATGCTTCTTGTACGGCCTGCAGAACCATGGGCCAAATACGCCTCTTTTCTTTATAAACCGCGTGTTCTTTCATAGCAACACAAACAGACCATGACACAGCCTTATTGGGATAAGCAAAGTTTTCAAAACTGGACTGAGCCAAGCACCTCTGTATCTTCCATCTAATGCTCTCCCGGTAGAGCTGTCTGGGGCTGACATTCATGTCTGCATCCCCACTGGTATCATACAAGAAGCCTGGATTCAAGGAAGTAATCATTAAATGTTTATTAAATTGAACTAAAAAGAATAGGGAAATACACCTCCAAAACTCATCAGGGCCTAAGGGCCTCATCACAGAGAACAGTAGCTGAAATTCACAAAAATGACATTATATAATCAGAAAATATGAATTAGGATCCTATAAATACATTTAAATAAATTTGTGCCCAAAACATTCCAAATGAAATTTTGATGCTAAATTAAAGTTTGTGTTTCTGAAGTCTAAGCCAGATGAAGATGGCTGACATGAGTAAGTGGTCTCACTTATTTTCCACCACAAATTAGAGCTATTTGAATTTACTAGCATCATCCTTGTCTCAGCTGAACAGAGGAAAAAGAGTTTGCTTCAAAGATTATAAATCAAAAACAGGTCTCTATGAAAAGATATACTGGGTCAGTAAAGGGAGAAACATTTTTGGGAAAGAGAACTGTCCAAAGAGAGAACAGCCTGATTTTGAAGGTGGCACGATCCTTGTCACTGGAATTACTCAAACACAGACGACATACCCAAGCAGCAGGTGGAAAGCTGGACTAAGTGCCTCTTGTTCCCTACTTGCCCATAGTACAAAATAAAGAGAAGCAGCTTAAGAGTAACCGTGAATCAGGTGTAGTGGTTCACCCCTATCATCCCAGCACTTTGGGAGGCAGAGGCGCGAAGACTGTCTGAGTTCGAGACCAGCCTGAGCAACATGGCAAGACCTTGTCACTACAATAAATAAATTTAAAAATAGCCGGGTGTGGTGGCACATGTCTGTGGTTCCAGCCACTTGGAAGGCTAAGGCAGAAGGATCGCCTGAGCCCAGTAGGTTGAGGCTGCGATGGCCGTGAGGCTGCATTCCAGCCTCGGTGACAGAGAAAGACCCAACTCAAAAAAAAAAAAAAAGAGTAATCATATTGATAGTCCAGGTCCTGCCCTCAAGGGTATCCCTCTTTTTTTCTATACAATTCCTCTGATTTCTAAGAGATGATAAAGAAATCGCTGAAATGTAAAACCAGTTCTTAACTGTTATGAATTAAGCCAATGCCATCTCCTAACCTAACGGGGTTACCACTGTTTTCCTCTAGTATCAACACAGCTGTCTAATCATTATTTGTCATTAGAGACAAAGAATTCCCTAAACAGCTCTAAATAAGTGGGCTGGGCATGGTGGTGTGCCCCTGTAATCCCAGCTGCTTGGAAGGCTAAAGTGGGAGGATGCCCAAGAGTTCAAGATTGGGCAACATAACAAGATCCCGTCTCCTAAACAACTAAGTGGAGGGTGGACAGGCATAGTGGCTCACACCTGTCATCCCAGCACTTTGGGAGGAAGAAGCAAGAAGACTGCCTGAGCCCAGGGATTCAAGACCAGCATGGGCAACTTGGCGGGACCTCGTCTCTACAAAAAATCAAAATATTAGCCAGGTGTGGTGGCACATGCCTGTGGTTCCAGCTACATGGAAGGCAGAGGTGGAAGGATGGCCTGAGCTCACTAAGCATGCCACTGTACTCCAGCCTGGGAGACAGAATGAGACTCTGACTCAAAAAAACAAACAAAAAAAACATAATTTTCACCACAACTCCCCCCCTCACCAACACTCCCCCTGGCTGAGCCATGGCTGAGCCATGGCCCTTTCGGTTGCTTTCATTATGGGACACAGGCCTGGAGCACCGGGGCGGAGCAAGCTGCCAGGAGAAATAGACAGAGAAGTCCCGAGGGGCTGAACTCCTTGCAGGCTAAACTTCCCATTGTTCACCTTAGCTAGATAAAAATAGGAATATGCTAGCAAATTATTATCTTTGTTTCTCATCCTAATAGCCCACTAACTCAGACTGGTTAGTTAGTAAGAATTTAAGCAGCTATGAGCAAATATTGAAAGCTTAAACATTTTTTGCTTGTCATGAAAAGTGTAAAATACTAAGACATTATAGTAAATTTAGTGATGTATGCCCCAAATTGTGCTTTTTCCTCTGAAAACACTGGCCTTGGCAATACACTTAAAATGAAATAAGTTACCTGGAAGCGAGGTCTAAAACAAAAAGAGAAAGTCCTCAGTGATGCGAAAGACTGGAGTCCGGACCTCTCGGTGTTGCGGATTCTGGCAACTGCAGCTGCTCCATGCCGCCACACACATCCGAGGAACACCCGCCTCTCCTTACTCCTGCCAACTGCTTGCTCACTGCAGCCCACCCTCAGGCACCCCATGGTGTCACCAGCAAAAGCAGGGTCCATGATTATTTAACATGCATCTAAAGAGAGATTGAGAATTCCCAAAAGAACTTCAAGATTTGGACAAAAGACAGTTCTGCATAATGCGCAGAGTCTAAAATTCAACCCAAGAGCAAAGGCATCCTCGGGGTTCTTACTGTAAAGCTCTAATTCTGGAGGAAACAGGGACCTTAGCACAACTGCCCTTTTTCATGGAAGCAGCCCCCGAGTAACCAGCTCCTGGAGGCATCAGAGAGAATGGAAACTCAGGTTCTGAAGGCGCCTCTGTCACCTGGTCGCCAGGTGAGTGGAAGACAACACAATTAACCTCAGCTTTCTCCTCGACCAAGCCAAGATTCTTCAGCTTAACAAATGCCTGCAACAACGACTTGCTGAACGCCAACCACACACCAAGCACCACGCCAGGCACCGAGCCGCGGAAGTGACAGAGACGGATGGGCTGTGGTCCGTCAGGCAGTAGCAGTGGAGCAAGGAAAACGGAAAATGGGACTTGGAAAACGGACTTGGAATACCTATGCCCAAGGCAAGGAGACAGGAAGTGTCGGGAGCTGTAAGTGCACATGACCGGAGGCTTCTAGAAAAGAAGGGGAGAGGGCTTCCATGGGGAAACGGGAGTCGGAGTCCACCTCGAGGCTGCCCAAGTAAAAATGCCTCCTTCACGAACTCTGACTTTCTTTTCTTTTCTTTTTTTTGATTTGGAGTCTCATTCTGTTGCCCAGTCTGGAGTGCAGTGGCCGCTCTCGGCCACTGCAGCCTCGAAGTGCTGGGCTCCGGCGATCCTTCCGCCTCAGCCTTCCAAGTAGCTGAAACTACAGACACACGTTACCACGCTCAGCTAGGTTTTGCGATTTATGGTAGAAACGAGGTTGCCCAAGCTGATCTCAAACCCCCAGGCCCAGGTGATCCTCTTGCCTCAACCTCCCAAAGTACTAGGATGACAGAATGAGCCACTGTGCCCCGTCCACTCTTTTTTTTAAGAAACTTGATCAGCTGACAAGGCCACAAAAATTAAATGAAAAAGTAACAAGAATAAAAATACAGAATAAAAATTTCTAAGGCCAGGTGTGGTGGCTCATGCCTGTATCTCAGCATTTTGGGAGGCCAAGGTGAGAGGATTGCCTGACCCAGGAGTTGGAAGCCAGCCTGGGCAACTTGGCGAGACCGTGTCTCTTCAGTAAATCAAAAAATTAGCTGGGCATGGTGGCACACGCCTGTAGTTCCAGCTACTTGGAAGGCTGAAGTGGAAGAATTACCTGAGCCCAGCAGGTCAAGGCTACAGTGAGCCATGACTGTGCCATTGCACTCCAGCCTAGGTGGCAGAGTAAGACTCCGAC